AAGAGGAGAAATTCTGCGACAAAACCTCTCGCGCTCTCATTGGCTGGAGAGTGGCGTCACGTGACTCATCTGCGCTCGTGAGTAACAATGAGAGGGTTTTTGCGATAATTAGAGCTCAAAAACAATGCTTTCTTCCGAAAGACTCGCGCTTTGGACGCAGTGTTCGGCGAATGAGAGAAGAGATGAAAAGTGTTTAAAAAATCCCGAATTTATTGATTAAATGAAATTAAATGAATTGAAAAGAAACGACGCTTTCGTCGACCAGAGACTGTATGCGCGCGACGGACAGCCATTCGCCGCTCTCGTCGTCGCGAATGACGGCCAGAAAGGGGCGCGAAATCACCACTTCTTCGCGCGCCTCCTCTTCCGCCTCCTTCGGCGCGCCCTTCGTCTCCGCGAACTCGAGACTCGCCCTCTGGAAGGCTGTGCTCACGCGCTGCTCAGTCGCCGACTTCGTGGCCGCCGAGAGGTCGACCTTCACGTTGAAGTCGAGGTCAGCGAAGAGAGAGTCCAACAAATCGTGTTCTAAACAAACAAAGCACTCATTGGTCGCTATAATCGCAATCACGTGACTCTAACCGGACTCGAGTTTCAGTTTCGGCAGCACAACAACGAGCGGTCGCGCGACGCTTTTCGCCGTTTTTTCGAACGCCGTCTCGATGTCAGCGAAAGTCAGGTTTTCGTTCAGGTTTTGCAGCGCGAGAGGAGTCGAAGGCATGATCTGAGAGAGAGAGAGAGAGCGTTGTTGATGACGTCATTCGGACTCTTCATTACTCACGACGTGAAGAGAGCGCTTCGTACTGTTGTTCGTCTTCAGCGGCAGTTCGAGAGTCAGCGAAGACAGCGCGGAGTCGTTGCGCGCGCGAAAGGCGCCGGAAGTGCGCAGAAACGGGACAGAAATCGGCATCGGCGGCAAAACGTACGAAACGTGGTTCAAAAACGAGCGTTTTTTCGGCTCCTCCGCGAACGGTGTCCGCCACTCGGGCGCCGCCGCAAACGCCTGAACGGCGGCCCACGAGTTGGAGGCGTCGAGGGGGTCGCGCAGGAGGCGTCCCACGCGCCCATTTGTCGCCTTGTTTACGGCAGTGTTGACGGCTTTTCGCGCGTCCTTTGCTTTCTTGAAGTCCACGTTAGAGACGCGACAACCGATGGAAGCGACGGACGCGACGAACGCGGCGTCGAGTGTCGTCTCTGACGTCACGAACAACTCGTTGGCCGGAAACAAGTCTCGCGATTGGTTGAGAGACGCGAACAGAGTTCTCATTCGTTGATTCAAATCCGAGAGTTTGTCTGAAATGAGAGCA